ATGAAAAATGGTGACACCTGTCATGTCAAAGTTTCCGGTAGTCTACAAGAGAGCCGCACCCAGCGGAGAATATTTTCAGCCGCTTCGAAGAGGTAGTGGATTTGAACACCACCACAGAGACAAACGAGGCGACTCTGCGACGGTTGCCTATTTCATTTCTGGTGGAGGCAAACCGCTGAGTTCCGCGATGACTGCGATGAACTCATGTCACCTGATCCCATTTTGGAAGGCTCGCAGGAACCTCTAACATGAACTTTCCGAAACGTTTAGCTATCATATCCATACAGAAGCGATCGCAGACGACATCATGCAAAGCAATGTCTCGCAATCATTCGATGGATTCAGCAATCAACATCTGGTCTAATTTTTCCAAGATTGTAGAACGGGGCTGAGCTGCTAGCTCTATCATAGTCTCTTCGCACAACGCCACATTGCAAAAAAATAAGGCCCGGATATGTGTCTCACAAAGTCGGTCCGCAGATCTAAATCCCAAACAAGAAACGGAAGAAAATATTACTGCTCCGTCTGAACAACGTCAGGCCATCATGACCAAGAAAGAAATTCAATGGCCATGCCAGGAAGATGATAGAAACTGATGGATTTCAGCCACGTCAGGAAGATGCCATCGAAGATCAAAATCTCTCCGTCTTCTACCTGTATAATCTGATATGGAGCTGTACGTTTAAGGGAACATTCAAGCTGTCCACAATAAGTGGCTGGAGTTGCTGTCCAAATTTAGGGATAGTAACATCAACTTGAACACGAAAATTTGAAACGTCACTGTCTCCATTTGCTTTTGCCCATCCCGGACGTCGCACATGGTAAGCAACTATGACTATGTCTAGTCACAGCTAATCTGGTTGGAGTTCAGAGGTTGCAGACTAACGAGCAACTGCTGCCATCATCAAGACTGACTTCCCATGGTCAATTAAATGCAAACATAACTGGCTTTTTAGTTTATTGCTTCTCTGTGATAGCAGAAAATCCTGCTTTTCAGCATAAGTGAAAGAAAATATCGAAAATATAGAAATTATAGAGCATATACATAATAGTGAAAATACAAAAAACATTTAAAACAACGAAAAGATCGTAGCAGTTAAAGATCAGAAGATCTTTAGAGCTTGAAGTCTAGCGAACGCACGGAAATTACAAGCTCCAGTTCAATGCTGGATTGAAAGCCTTTATAAAACAGGTGACAATGAAGGGTAAGCACCTTTTGTTCTCAAGCATTCGAAACTGCTGAATAACTTGCAAACGTGCAACAATGGTATCGTTGAATTATTATAACGGAGATATTGTGATTTATCAATTCATTAACAAGCAAATATTAAAAAGTGATAACAATATGATGAAACCTAGAGACTGCTGTAGGTTGGCCGATCCATCATCCAATAAGGAATATATTGTCTTGCCTGAAGTGCCATTTCTTTAAGAATTAAACTGCAAGTTTCTTCGCAGCAGTTAATAGTGCTTAAAGTAAATCTGTGGAAGACACTGCTCTTCCAATTTCTGATACCATAAGGGAAAAGCTGCAGTGATCAGGTGGCTATACAAATTCAATAGAGAAATGACAAGGCTAAAAAGGCATATAAATATCGAAGCACGAGTTTGTGAGACGACGGTAGGGCATTACGACTTCATATAAACATCAAGCCTCACGACTATGAGTCATGTCAACCTCAAAGACCTCTCTTGGTTCATGTAGCCGCTGAACGAATTTGAATTGCACCTGCACAGCAGGTAAAGAAAATTGCATTTTTCGCCGGAACGGGTGAATGACCGTTACGGCAGTGAACAAGACCCCGAGGTCGCCCAGGCGCACTTAGCTGAATAACATCGACAAGGAATTAAGTCACTATCAGCAACGCATCTGCGTTGTTTACGCGTCCCAAGCGATTGAGGAGGACCATATTGAGACTGGCAGAGCCGTCCGATGGACAATGGCTCGCTGGAGGCACTCTTTGTCCCTTTTCATTTGCAAATACAGTCGTGATCGCAACAAAGACCACGGAGGGCACGGTTTCCGTCGTGGATACTTTTCTTGATGTCGGAGGATGTAAAACGTGCTTTACAGCGTGGGACAGGTGACGAATGTGACTGATGAGTTAGGCGTCTGCAGAAAAACGAAGTTACGGACGACGACCGCCGCCAGGCCAGCGGCTGCAGTTGGAGACGATAACGTGGAACCGTGGGTCTGCCCCATTTTCCCACCTGTTCGTTGACGTTTTAGAACTTTGGCACGGTAAGCACTTAAGTGAAGCAGGCGACGAAAATATGCGAAGAATTTTAAGGACTGACGAAGGTCAAGTATAGGCTAATCCCTTACCAAGAAATCTACATATAAAGTGGCACTGGTCAGCGACGGTTGCGCCCCGATTCAGAGCTCAAACGGAGCCGCGACGGTACTCACTTCTGTCTCGTACACCTGCCCGCATAGCGCCAGTCGTTGCGCTGTTTGAGGACGGGATTAATTACCGCCGTTGGCATTCATAATCGTTCCGTATGTGTTCTTTGTATACCTGGAGCAACTACTAGGCCGTTCTCAGCACAACGCTGTCTGCAAATAACGACGGTTCCGACGAAACTGCAACAGTACAAATGGGCCAGGAGCGAGAACAGCTGTTGAGGAACGGTGGTAGGGAGGCGTTTGCCTCATTTTTGCGAAATAGTTCAAAAGAAAGAATGCTCCAGTAAAACTTACTCAAAAGTTTTACCTTAAGGCCGTCCGTCGCTATGCGTTTCAGGCATTTACAAGGTCTAGAAATAATGCGTGGAATTGAACCTTCTAATATTGTGTGATGTTAGCTGTGGCGATGCTAGTCAGATTAGACGATTCGATGGAAAAATTAACTGACCATTAAGTAAACGTCATAACTTGCGTATGAGCATACGTCATACGAAACATAGAAATGCGTTCCAGGATCCACCGTCGCATGGACTCATGTGTCGACGGCTACAGCAAACTTTATGATCAGTTTCGACACTGAGTTTTGGAATGATGTTCTACGAACCGGTATCGTACACAGCACATATCCTGATATTCTAATCGTGATAGAAAGAGGACTGCAGATCAGAAAAAGGCAAGAAAATGACCCTGCCATTGAGAGAGCATATGCATGAGTGTAGGCATACAATACTTGACCGCCCGGCAATTCATATCTCTTGTAATGCGAAGGCCAGCATTAGCTAGACGATTGTGTTCTGCTACCTGATGGAGTCCACTACTTCGTTTACTGACTTAGCAAAAGGATGTAATTTGCTCGATCACGCCAACTAGCGTGTTGGACTGGAATACCACAGCTTAGTTCTTACTCTCGACGTGCATATGCAGCACGTTTAGAATCCAAGGACCAGAAGATTTCTTTACGTATCTGCCAAGCAGATTGAAATCCATCCCGGTGTAACTGATCTCGCTGCCTATGTGAACGGCTGAACTGCTGCCCACAGTTCGCGGTTGGCGTCCCGTTGCAAACATAAGCCAACGGTGAAAGTAAGGGATCGCATAATTGGACTAAGTTTGGTGAAAGTCCGCCTCTAGACCACTACAGTGACTGGAAAAGACTGCCACAACCTCGGAAACTGTCAGCGAATGATAATCAAGTAATCAGAGCTGATAGAACTTTTTAAGCTTTAAAGGGAGGTTTGACAAAGTGAAGGATACGTAATTACAAAGACGAATGCACCATTCAAAGCTACAGTTCGTCTTGATCTGGAAGAATAACATGAGCAGCGTTTCTTCGTCGTACCGTGTACCTTCTGAGTGAGAAGGCGACTGATAATTAACTAAAACAACAGGCTCTGGCGAAGTTTCATAGATGGGATCTGGAAATAGAAAGGATAGCACCATTTTATTGATTTTAAAATGTAATTTGAAATTGTTGTGTCATATTCTGTGATTTCTGGGTTCATCTAACACATAGTCTAAAGGGGAGAAGGGGAGAAAAGGTTGATTGTCAGCTGTGCATTATCCAGATAGCATAAGAGTGCCAACATTTAATTTTTTCTATGAATTTTTCTTCTTAGGTACTTCACTCTGTACAATTCTCATTTGTGACGAAACCATTTTGGCTGTAGCAAACACCGTTTTTCAAGGCAATAAACTAGCTTGATTGGTTGTGACGTCATAAATAGCATAGAAACAAGTCAACTCATATAGTCTGTTACAGCACAGCTGTTATTCTTTGAAAAATAGGTCATTAAATTTTCAGATGACCTGGTTATGTGATTTATCTTTTATTTTAAAAATTTAAATATTCATTCAATTAGTGTAAAAAAATGGAAAAAAAATTAGGAAGAATAAAGCCCCAACTGCTTTCCTCAAAGTTTCATCTTACAATGGAGTTTACTCTCTGAGAGACCAAAATTGAACAATGTCTTTCAAGCATCTCTGAATAAATTTTGTTTCCTTAGTTCAAACCTCTGTACAAGTTATGGAACTCTTGAACTGCCAGCAATTTAATTTGGCTTTTCTTTCTTTCTTTGTACAAGTAAAGAAAAATAAACTTTTTTTATATAAAACAGTTCGTGTAATCAGAAAGTACCATTTTTTTCTGTACGATGTATATGAGCTTCATGTGTACAAGGGCAACTGAGAGTTGTGCTGTCGAATTTCCGGGCCTTGACCGATCCTAATATGAACAAACACTTTTATCGAGTTGTTATTTGCACTGCCCATTTTGGAACGTTGTGAAGGTCAACGGAAACTTTTGATATGACGCCAGCGGAAGTTCATAAACTACATAACAGCAGACAGCTGTGTGCGAAAATTATTGATAATGACGAGAAGCTTCCGGTCTGTGGCCACGGCGTAGAACACGTTTCCGGCGATGTGTCCTTCCATTGGTCGACCTGTCGTCGTTGGTGGCACTGTTTGCCCTGTCATGAGACCGATCGCTGTCCCCATATGCCACGTCGACGGAACAACACACCGTGTCATGCGGTCGGTCAATCACTAGTTCGGACAAAGACCATCGTAGACCGTCGGCCGTCGCAGCTGTTACCACAGCGTTTGTCGCCACATGGTTCGCACCTGCGCGACGCCCCACCGTTTGACAAGATCTCTAACAAAGGTTATCCGGTGACGACTTCACAGGCAACAGAAAACGTTCTTCCTTTACAGCCCAAGAAAGTGCAAAAAAGTAGTTACCCCAGAATTAAGGGAAGGGGGGGGGTTAGTTAAGTCATAAATGGCTCAGCATTCGAATGTCAAATTAGATGTAAATGAAAGACAATGGAAATCACGCGAGAAATGTCGAATTTACCGGTGGTTGTGGTGAACAGCAGTGCCATCCGCGAAGCCAGGTTGCGCCAGTCCTAGACACCGGTTTAACGGAAGGAAAGCTACATGGAAACTTACGAAAGACAACTATTTAATACGCTTTAGACGACGAACTTTCGAACGATTGTCCACGTCCACCATAGCAGGATTAGTCCGTAGTAATGCTGTCACAAAACTGCATTGATGCGACGTCGTTTACGATTGGCAAACGCTGGGAACATTGGCAGGAACCTTGGCCACGCACAACACAACTTATGCTCCATGTGTAGTACAAACAAAGTTTTTCTTCCTTACCCATCAATCATCCGGCAGTGTCAAGCACCTGCATGCTTAGCGTTGCAAGCTGAAAGCGACAGCTGACGACGCGGCGCGTGGCTCGCTCGACGGCTATGCTTCCAATGCATCAAGCTCAAGCCACAAGATATCGGTTTGTATAGGAAAGCAAGACACATGCATTCTATGACTCGATTTGTCGTCGCATGCGTTGTAAAATCGAATAATATAGCTTACAACTTATGGAAGGACTTTCACTATAATTTCTGTATTCCAACCGTGATTTTGTAACTCTGTAGCTTTAAATCATAAGCTAATGCTAATGAATCTGATGACGATGATGGTGATGCCACGCTGGCGTCTAACAGATATTAGGAAAGGTTGAAATTGTCGATCGGTGCCCTATCGGCACTCTCATAGCAACTGGCATGGTAGAGGTAAAGTTATTGAGGTGGATTGAGGTAGGAGGCTGACTGACAGGTAGACGGCACCGCGCCACGCTGTGACACAACAAGTGGCAACAATGCAGGCATTATCGCTAAGACCGCGCTTATTTACCGGATCGTAGAGGGAACACGGTTTTTCGTCAACAAACGGCCCTGACACAATGGGCAGAAGTTATGCAGGTCAGAAATTGGAATTAAATCAGTCATGCGCGCAGCACCGCCACTATTTCTGACATGTTCTGGACGGCGCTATCTCGGGGTGGCACACTTCGTTTTCTCTCCGGCAGTACCAAGCAAAACTGACGAAATTCGCTCGTCTCGAAACACCGGTACGAAAACGGTCATCTGCCACCGAAGTGAACCCCATAGAAATCTAATAATGAGGTGCACATTTAAGCCAGACCTGTCCTATTAAACATGAACGAATTATAGATGTGCCGGCTTTCACTGACGACCCAGATGGCTGTATATGTGCATTGGGATAATTGTTTTCATGGA